GTGAAAACATAATCGGACATTTGATATTTGATTGAATTTTATTGTTTTGCCTTTGGGGTGGCACCTGGGGTGGCCAGTCTGGTTGGGGGGTGGGGTGGCCTGTGCCCCCCCAGGCCACCCCGCTGGACACGCCACTGGTGGAAGGCAACAACTGAAAATATGAAATAAACACACATGTAAGCTAAGACTCTCTAAAGACACAGAGTTGTTGTTTGGCTTTTCATTTTGCCATTTGTTGATTCACTCGAAGAGCAAGTAATGTAATATGGGTCAAGTGATCTGTTTGACATCAATCTTTTGTGATACACCGTCATATTTGCATTATTTGTACAGTACGAATGATTTGCCTTGGTACCTGGTCAAACTTCAGTTCTCCTCTGTCTTCCTGGCTGCGCTTCTCCAAGAGCGCACTTGCAGTGCTTCAAATATTGTGTGTAGTTTTTGTTTTGTCAGCCAGGCATCTAACTATGAAAAAAATACACTCCAAAAGACCCCGGGCTTCTGAAAAAACAACCCGGGCTTAAGCCCAGTAAGCCACCCCCCCGCTCCGCCACTGGTTAAGGACCTTCCCAAGGATGTCACAGTCTGACTTTCAACATTATGAATGAAAACGTATTGCCTCCCCATCAGGGAATCGAACCCCAGTTTCCCGCGTGACAGGCGGGGATACTCACCACCAAACATGACTGTATAAATTTGCAACAGTGCCAGAAGACTATAGTGGACAAAGAATATATTACATTCGTAGTGGTTTAGGACTCCCATAGAGAATGAATTGGAAAGTTCGGGACCGTTTAGGTACATGGAAGATGGACCCGTTCTTATTAGGGGTGTGTTTAAATAATCGATTTTCCCATTTAAATCAGTTTTAGCTTGAATAACACCATATCGATTCATTGAATCCTGAATCAATTTTTAAATACAAATCTACTTTTCCAGAAACGCCTGAACATACACAGACCTTCAGTGCTGAAAGCCTACAGCACACAGATTCTGAAGCTGCAGGTTTTGTCACTCTCCAACCAAAATTCACTGAACAAACAGCAAAAGAAGATCAAAACTACGCTTCAGGTTTGATAAACATCGTCATTAATTCCCTTTTATTTTTGCTGATTTGCTTCCACCACGATCGCACATCCTGCATCGCTCTTTCTCTCTCTCTTCAAGAACAGTTTCCCATCTCAAATCTGTTTTCTGTATTATTCGCTTGCTTATTATGCATCAGTCTACCGTTGTGTGCAGTGCTGTCCCGCTGTTTTTTTTAAATGACCTCGGACAAGAAAGCATCATTTTTACTGTTCAACACTGGAGAAATTTAAACTTTTTAAAATATGCCAAATTGCAAAACGCTTTCCTGTGTCTGTAATAAAACATCTTTGACTTTGCTCTGCTTCACTTCAGCAGCATCGGGTAATGATCATATTGAGCGAAATGCTGCGTCAGACAGCTTCTTTTATGATAGACTTAACAAAGAAAACTAATAAACGCCATACACCAGCTTTCTTTACACAGAAATTGCTGCAGAGGTTTCCATCATTAAAAAGCGTTACTGTCATTTCCTTTCTGTTAACTGTATTGCCATCTCCTTTAAAGACAAACTGATAAAAATATGGTGTATCCACTGATGAAAGCTTAGCAACTAAGAGGAGGTAGAGAAAGACAAAGAGGGACATGGTGGCAGTTGTTTTTAATGTAAGCACATGAGATGGACAAACTTCATATTAAGCACACACACACCAAAGAAAAATCTGACATGATGAAATGAAAAATTATGGCCTGTAAACATGAAACAAATTCATTCATTGCATTGTTCTTCAGTAATTTAGTTTTTTCCCCCTCAGTCTATCAAAAATGAGTGCAGACAGTGTGCAAGCATAAAAAATAAAAATAAAAAAAGTAACAGGAAACTGGAAAATGTCTATATCATAGGCATAAACAGAGTGAGTGAACAATTGGCTCTGTAATTAAAAAATATATAATTGCTTAAAAAAAGAAAAAAAAAAAGAAAGAAAAAGTAATGCACATTGGAAAAAAACCCAAACAAACAAAAAAAGCCAGTACCGAAAAAAAATTAACAATCCACACTCAAACGACGACAGTGCACCACTCAGCGTTGTAGCCCTTCTCCCGAAGCAGCCTCACGCAGGAGCAATGACACACTCCTGACTAATCCATTGAATTGGAGGCACAAAACAGCCTCCTCTTTCCTCCTCTTCATCGTCCACCCGTCCGATGCTGCACCTTTCCAAAGGTTAATGCAGCCACACAGAATGTGCAGACCACTAGAGACCAGCATGTGTGCCTGTATCGAGAGAGAGAGAGACTACTCATTTTTGAGCTGCTGTCGACCTTACGCTGTGCTTTGGGTTTTAAACACACACCTCAGGGGGTTTTGGGGCCAGAGGCAGACGGAGCCTCTTGTGGTTCTGTCTGTTCAGATGGAGCAGAGTTCAAACTCGAGGTGCTTTCCTCCTTCCTGTCCCCTGACAGAAAGTCGTGGATGGCTGTTTCTATGTGCGGTCGGAAAGTGTGGTTCATCTTGGGGTCCACGACCTGAGTTATGATCCTGTCCACACCAGACTCCAGCATGCCCGATCTTAAAATACATAAATAAATTATGGCTGAGTGCATGGTCGTACAAAAGTCTTCAGTCACTTCCTCATTTCTTTATATTTTGCTAGGAAAATGGGAAATAGATACACCAATTTATTGAAGCATGTGTAAACATAAACTGAAATACAATGTTTAACACAAAAACCCAAAAAGTGAGTACTTCAAAAACAGATCATTTCTTTATTTTATATATAACCTGTTCACTACAGTCTTTTTACTAATTTACGTAAAGAAATTAGATGTAAAAAAACCCCCAAAAGCCAACATGTGAGTGTGCACTGCAGTAGTGCTGTTGTGGAAGGAAAGCTCTGGTTTGCACAGTCTGCATTTAACTTTATTTATTCATCCTGTTTTGTGGTTGGCGCTACGTTCTTCTTCATTAATATTGAGCGCAGTCTTGGCAGACGACATAGGCGATAAGCCCTCATACCTCCCTGTAGTGTGTTGCAGTTACAAAAACACATTTATGTGGTTTTAGTGTATCACACGTCAACAATGAAATTCCACATCAACTAATTTTTATAGGTGACATTGTCAATTGTGTTAATTAACCCTATTATCAGGCAGACAACTGAAAATCAATGCTGTTCATGTGCTGTAGATAGTTTTTAAGGCTTGCAACTCATTCAGTGTCCTCATATTTTTAAGGACACACTGCACACCATGCTGAGCTACACCAATTTTTCAGCTAATGACTGTTTGGCAGTCAGCTTGTTGGTGCAAAAATACCATTTTATGTCTGTCAAACTGCATTATCTTTGGCATTTTTCATAGATTAAACTAAAGAAACCGGAACAGATGATATGCCAAAAGATACAGTTTTTGTCTGTTACGTGTCAACAAGAAAGATTCATTCCTTGAGTTAGGTGCCCATTTTTTCCTTGAAGGATTCATAAGCCAGTGTTACATAGCTTAACAAACAAAACAATAGTCAGGTACAAAGGCTGGACTAAAAACGAGTGAAAAAGCAGCAAATGTTCAAAGAAAAACTTTGAAAGACCTTCTGAAAGCCTGCAGAACTATTGGTAAACGAAAAAAAGCTCCTTGGAAGTCTGGCTCCTTGGAAGCTCACATGTGTAGTACATTCTAAACAGGAGCTGAAAGGTTGCAAAAAGCTCAAAGGAAACACTCACTGAACAACACTTTGCCTCAGTCCGTTCCTCATCTGGTTCTTGTTGATGGACGGGTTCCAGTTCTGCGTGCTCAGGTGCGATGTGACGAAGTTGTCCACTTTCTGTCGCAGGTTCTGATAGGCCGGCTGACAACAACAACAGCGCGGTAAATATGCAGCAATAGCGCACACTAAGTAACGGAGTACACTGTGCGTTGAAAGTATACTGCAGTATACTGTAGCCAGCTAAAAAGACACTCGGATAGATTTAGGACAGTTAAAGTGGCACTGACACGGATAACTTTGTTTGTGTCAGGTTAGCTAAAGTTAAACACAAACAAAGCAGAGTTAGTAGATTACCTTTGTATCGACGTCGGCTAAACAGTCCCGACGGAACTCATCAAAAAGACCCCGGTTTTTCAGATGCTCCACAATCATCCCGATGAGCTGCGGGTCTCCCGGTGGGAGGTTGGCCGGATTGACGTTAACATTACCGCTTCCCTCGGCCATGCCAAACCCAGGAGACTATTTTATTACTTACCTGTTAGCTGCATTGAACTAGCCAACCACTTAACTATCCACACTAGTTATTCTACAAGACGTACGTTCGATTCATTGCCCTCGAACAAACTGCGGACAAAGTGATCGTTAGTCTTGCTGAACAGCAGACGCTCTTTTAAAAAAGGTAGAAGCAGAAGAGCAAATCGAATGCCTCCTTTTCCCCCCTTGTCTTCCACGCACGCGCACAAGTGGCATAACCTCGGATGTACTTCGTTTTAGTGCCGTTGTTACTAACTGAGGGTAAATCAAAACGTTAGCGGGTTGCGCTGAAACGTTCATTTAGAAATAAAAAAAAGAATAATTATAACACATTCAAAGCACAAAGCTGGTTCTGTGGCGGGGATCTGACTAAGATAATCTGCACCGTTAACTTTCGCACCAGCCAGAGCTCACTGTGCCTGGACTATCGCTGTGAAAGGTAACGCTAGCCATGCTGGCTAACATCAACACACTTAATCTAAGTGTTAATCACGGACATAAAAATATAGCAGAGGTGAATGACCGAATTAACCTGATATTAACTCAGATACAGCCCCCTTTTGAAGACGGGCTGTAGGTTTTAGCTCACATTGAGTCCAGCTGTCGGTTGTTATCCTTGACATTGTGAAGGATTAAAGCAGCTGGCTGACATTTTCGGCAGTTACAGTATAGTAACAATGATGGTACTCATATGTGATTAGTTGGCTAGGGGCAGTTAGATGGGTGAGTAATATCCAGATTATGAACCTGTGCAAGACTCCAGAGCAGGATATTAAATCCAGGCTATTTCGGTGTGATAAAGTTGTCATACAGTGTCTCTCTATATGTCTGAACATGGTAATCTAATGTGTCACTTTCTTGTCGTAGATGAGTGGCAAATCAGATCCCAACAAAGAGTTTATGGAGCAGCTGCGGCTGCAAGAGCTCTATGATCAGAGAAAGGAAGATGGCTCAGACCCATACACCTACACCGATCCAGAGGATGGGACTGTGTATGACTGGGATCATGAAAAGAAGGCCTGGTTTCCCAAAGTACAAGCTTTCTTTGACTCTCAGCTTTTCTTTCTTAAGCTTTTTTTAGTCTACATTGAATTGAAGCAGCTTTACCTTATAAATACAGTCAAAAACTTGCTGTTGCTCTTGGGATCATTTTCCTGTTGCATGACCCCATTCTGGCCATGCTTCAGCTGTTGGAGAGATGTTAGTACAGTACAGGGTATTGCACTGACCTGTGGAGTGTTGGTATTTGATACAGAAACTATATTGTTATAGTTTTCTTACTTGGCTATTGGAAGTGTGTAGTTTTCTTTTTTATATAGCATAAAAGCGCTGACTAGTAAAATTAAAGTGAAAAAACAAAGTTATCATTTATTTTATGATAACAGCTTTTATTAGATGTGTCAAAATTGGTGCGAGTTGATTTCTGTTTCAATATTAAGTAGGTTTGATTTGTTCCTTTAGATAACAGAGGACTTCATGGCAGCCTACCAGGCCAACTATGGCTTCACTGAGAAATCGGCTCCGGATGGAAAGAACGCTTCCCTGACCAGCACCAACCCAGCAGCACCCGGGCCTGACAGCAAACCACCACAAAAACCAACAGAAAAGGAGAAACCAGAAGATCCCGCCCCAAACTCGGCCTCAGAGCAGCATGAGACGCCAGGCAAAGAAACCAAACAGAAAGGGGAGAAGAGGAAAGCTGAGCAAGGTAAACTGGCATCCAATC